AATCTGCCCGAAATGATGTTTTTTTGTCCTTTTCCGAATATCTGAGCATGTTTTTGTGATAAAACCAGAAAAAAATTGAAACATTTTACTTAAACTTAACTTAAAAAATTAAAAAATTAAATCGGAATTGATATAAGTTTTTCGCTTGTTTTGCTGGATTTAGTTCGTTTTTGGACCAGAGCAAAATCTTGTTCAATCCAGACCACTTGATTTAACTAGTTTTTGAGCAAAATTGAGTCAAAAATAAGACAAGAAAAACAAAAAATTTGGTCGGAAATGCGTATATGCACGTTTTTTGTACTAAAATCTCAGTTTTTAGCGAGATTTCGCTAGAACAATCTAAAAATCGACAAATTAAATCGAAAATTACATTATTTGACGTTGACTGTCAAATATTCAGAGTCGCCAACTAAAATTGTGAACATTTGCTGCTAACATCAGATCACTTGATCAGAAATTCACCTTTTGACCATCACCCCCAAATAAATGGCCTTCATCCTGAAGTTGTAGTTCTCCACGGGGACGTGGGCGAGGACAGTGGTCGCCAAAACGTCTCTCGCTTCGTCCACTGGCGTTTTCATTTTGCTGGCCGACGTCACGTAGCGTTTCGCTACTAATTTCGAGCCTATGTATTTAAGTGCCCCCAATTGGGTGTAAATTTTCAAAGTGTGACACTCCTCCAGTGTTGGGGTGAGTTTGGAGATGTCCTCGATTCCGATCAATTCGCAGATTTCCTTATCACTTGTCACGTCCATTGCTTTGAAAATGATTGAAACGGGGATGAGCTGCAAAAACAGTTGAAAATTTGGTGATGAATTCAGGAATAACACAAGGCGACAAAAAAAAGTCATGTCGTGACAACTTGACAAATTTTATATCATTTTGTTCGTCTAAGTGAGACAAATCAAATGCACTAAAAAAATTTTTAAAAAGTCCACACACTTTAAACAAAATAATTTTTTTCTAATTCAAATGAATTTAAAATACTTTAACTTTAAAAAATCATTACTCAATAACTATTACGCCGATTTCCTTCAAATAAAAACCATTCTAAAGGGATGGCCTTGCCCTTTAGAATGATATAAAATTTGAAATTGAATATTGGCAAACTTTTCTTCGATCAGTGTTCGAAGAAGTTCGAAGTAAATCGAAATAATCTAAGAAAAACCCTACGAGTAATTTTTTTTTTCATAATTACTATCGTGTAGAGCATCTCTTTATTAATTGTAATCCAAATTTTCAAAAGAATATACCGAGTAGTTTTCAAGATATGATTTTTTGAAGTTAAGGTTTGCTAATTAAGCATTGCGCCATATAGGAGAACTGCATGTTAATCTTACTTAAAATTACATTTTTATAAAAGTATTTGTTTTAAGACTCTCCTTTTGCTTAAAAATGGTCAACTGCACCTTCTTTGTTCTAATTACAATAAACAAAAAATGTTTGTTTACTTAAAACAAATAAAGAGTGCATGCGTACTAATTAAAGCAAATAAAGAGTTTTTTTGTTGTAAAAATGACCACTGATCATTAAGCAAAGAGGATCTAGAAGTTTAAGGCACGAGTCTTAAATATAACGGCAAATTTTTTTCAAATCAAATCACTTTTCATTCAGATTTCGACTTGTTCACTTTGTTCTAGTTTTCTGAACTTTTTTTGAAAATGTTCTGAGCAAATGCTTTCTCATCACTTTCGAGTAATGTTAAATGCAATAAGTCACCTGATTTATTTTGTTGATACATTCTACGATTACCTTCAGTTAGCTTGTAGGTAGTAGTTGTTGTGAAAACAGTAGCACACGAAGCAACTGACTTATTACATTCAACATCACTCGAAAGTGATGAAAAAGCATTTGCTGAGAACATTTTCAAAAAAAAGTTCAGAAAGCTAGAACAAAGTGAACAAGTTGGAATCTGAATGGAAAGTCATTTAATTTGAAAAAGATTTGTTCTTATATTTAAAGCTACTGCTTTAAACTGCTAGATCCTTTTTGCTCAATGATCAGTAATCATTTTTAGAACAAAAAAAACTCTTTATTTACTTTAATTAGTACGCAGGTACTCAAACAGTTTTTGGTTATTCTAATTGGAACAAAGAAGATGCAATTGACCATTTTTAAGCAAAAAAAGAGTCTTAAAACAAATACTTTTATAAAAATGCAATTTTAAGTAAGATTAACATGCATTTCTCCTATATGGAGCAATGCTTGATTAGCAAACCTTAACTTCAAAAAAACATATCTTAAAAACTACTCGGTATATTATTTTAAAAATTTGGATTCTTCACACGATGGTGACGAAGAAAAAAAAATTACTCGTAGGGTTTTTCTTAGATTATTTCGATTTACTTCGAACAGTGTTCGAAGAAAAGTTTGCCAATATTCAATTTCAAATTGCATATCATTCTAAAGGGCAATTCCATCCCTTTAGAATGGTCTTTATTTGAAGGAAATCGGCGTAATACTTATTGAGTAATGATTTTTTAAAATTAAAGTATTTTAAATTCATTTAAACTAGAAAAAAATCATTTAGTTCAAAGTGTGTGGACTTTTTGAATTTTTTTTAGTGCATTAGATTTGTCTCACTGAGACGAACAAAATGATATAAAATTTGTCAAGTTGTCACGACATGACTTTTTTTGTCGGCCTGTGTAATTACGTCGGTTAGGGAGTTGTGCCCCAGGTAGTATTTGGTGCCCTTGCAGAGGACGTTAGTTCGCGATTTTTTCTCGTGGGTGGAGCTGGTGACGGAACATTGAACCCCGAATTTGCACTCTTCGACTATCATTCGGTTTTTGGAGAGTTGCTCTTGGATTAAGATGACTTTCTCTTGGCCTTTGACGACAAAATAGCCCCCGGGGTCCAAGGGACATTCGTTCATTTTTGCCAATTCGTACTCAGATTTGTTGGTGAGGACGCAATTGGAGGAGCGGAGCATAATAGGCATTCTATTTTTTTCGAAATAAGGTTTTGAGTTTATAAAAAATACTGAAATTACCTGCCGATCATCAGCCCGGCTTTCGACACCCTCTGAGTGCCTCGAGTGTATTCAATATCCACGGAAATGGGGGCCGAGTATGTCATATCTCTCAACCTACACTCATGGGGGGTTGTAGGCTTGCTAATATTGAAACCCTCATCGACATCCGGTCGCCCCACATAAACATTTGTATATCTGCAAAACTAACATAGAAAAAAAAACAAATAGTGAAACTATTTACTTGACGTAAAATAACGGATCTGCATCACACACAAGTTTGTCGTTTGCTTCCACGATTTTCTTGATATCAACATTAATAAAATAATTAAACGAATCAATGTGTTGTTTTACTAAACCTTTAACTTTCAAAAACGCTGGTACGAGTTTCCACTTTTCCTGAAAAATGTATTCTTAATTAGTTTTCAGGTTTTGTAAATTGAGATTTGACTTTACTTCTATTTCTTTGATTGGTTTTTTGAGAAGGGCAGGATCGCCAAAATCAACTTCAATGTTTTTCATTGCAACTTAATTAACTTATTACTACGCTGAAAAAACTATTTACATGTTCAAAAGTTCAAATTGTGAGGTTAAACATTCAGGTTATGTTGTTCAAAGATTGAAGAAGTTGCTATTTGCGACCGAAAACAATTTTGTTCGAATTGCAGTATAATTGGTTGCCTGAAAAACTAAGTTATTAATAAACAATAATTTTTAATAGTAGTAATAATTTATTAATAATTTTTGCTAATTAACGTGCAATTTGTAATAAAATAAGCAAAAACATAAGATATGTCATTGTGCCTATAACATCTAAAAATTGATTGTTTGTAATTAAAAATTCAAGATTTGAAGAATTCAAAATTCAAAAAATATACAAATAAACAAAAACTGTGATATTCTTAGTAAATACCAGCATTTACTATAAGAAAACATTAAAAAAATAACACTATAGCCACTTCTGTTATTTTGACAATGTTTTTATATTTGTAGTGAAATCTCCTAATTCAAAATTTCTCAATAAAGTAACACAGATTTTTTTTTTACATTGAACTCAAATGTTTCTGCCTTATTTTACCTCAGAAAACACAGTTGTCGGTGTGGGGGTAGTAAGACACGAAGTTTAGCTTAGGTTTAGCAAAAAAATTCTATATTGTAGATATTAATACAATATTTTAATACTTGTCATAGAAAATTATTTAATAAAATTGTTGTAATTAAAATAGTTTGTAAAAATTCTTGTATTATAAGTGTACATAATCTTTAGTTTTTCTCCTTTTCATTTCTATTCTATTTGTTAATTTCTATACAAGGTGCACCAGAACTTGCGCCCCAGAGAAAGATACTAAAAAATGTTAAGAAAATTCTATCAATAAAAATTTCGAAGTAAATTTTGGACTTTGACATTATTTATTTGTGTTGAAAAAATAATTTTCCAACTTTTTTTTGCTATAAACTATTAGAAGAGAAAACGAGGAAGCTGTATGTTATTTATGGCTTTTATTGGCAAAATTTTTGTACCTTTACTAAATAATTATAAAAAACATATACAAGATCATCAGTATCATTAAACAGACATAAAAAAATGTCAAATATCAAAAAATAAATGTTAAATTTTCTTGACATAGAATTTTTTCCATGTTCGTGGTATCTTATCTTACTTGAATTTTTTTCTCTGGGGCGCGAGTTCTGATACACCCTGTAGTAATTAGTAATTATTTCGCGTTTTTGATATGGCGTCATTGACCATTTTGATATGTACCTAATTATTAATTATGGATTTTTAGACAAAATGAAACAATTAATTTTTGGACAGCGTTTCGGAATCACTTGTATAAAAATACAGGGTGTTTGGTCCAAGTCGCCCCGGCCGATAACACCTAAACTTACTTTTTCTTTCAAAAACTAAATTTTCAAATAATACTATTCATTCCTCGTTTTTTTAGTAAATGCATCAAATTTTTTTGGCACATCTGGTGTAGCCGGAAATGCTACCAAATTTAGTTTTTCAAATGGAACAACCATGTTTTTTTGCTTGAAACAATAATANAAGTTTGACAATATTCAATTTCAAGTTGCATATCATTCTAAAGGGCAAGTCCACCCCTTTAGAATGGTCTTTATTTGAAGGAAATCGGCCTAATAGTTATTGAGTAATGATTTTTTAAAGTTAAAGTATTTTAAATTCATTTAAATTAGAAAAAAATATTTTGTTTTTTGAAATTTTTTTTAGTGCATTTGATTTGTCTTACTGAGACAAACAAAATGATATAAAACTTGTCAAGTTCTCACGACATGACTTCTTTTTTGTCGCCCTGTGTAATTTGTAAATTTTATTTTTAATGACAAACGGCAGAAATGATTTAAAAAATCAGGTGGGCGCCGAGTGTCACCAACCGATACCAACTAACACAAAATTGTCTAGACGACAAAAATATATTTTTTTAATTAAAATAAGAAAAAAGGGGGCGCAACTTAGAAAAAATTGCATAAAATACTCGTTTTATAATGGCATTGGCGCACTCATCCCATAGAAAACTCGCCAACCACTCGTTTTCTAACTTGGGATTCGTGCGCCAAATCAACCCTTATGAAACTTGTTCTTTAATATACTATTAAAAAATTCTGTCAAAAAATTTTGACATTTATTTTTTGACATTTGACATTTTTTGAAGTCTATTTAATGATACTGATGATCTTGTACAGCGTGTTCGGTCCAAGTCGCTCCGGCCGATAACACCTTAACTTACTTTTTTTTTCAAAAACTGAATTTTCAAATAATACTATTTATTCCTCATTTTCTTAGTAAATGCATCAAATTTTTTTGGCACATCCGATGTAGCCGGAAATGCTACCAAATTTAGTTTTTCAAATGAAACACCTATGTTTTTTTGCTCGAAACAATAATAATTGGCATGAAAAATACGGTAAACCACTATTTATTACATTTTACTTTACATAATGCACTCGAAAAACAATTAAAATTTTTGAATTTTATTGCAAATTTTGCAACGTAGGCGGATTTTACTTGTCAAGGTATTCATGCAAAAAGCAATATGCTTGGATACCGTTTAATTGTTTAAAAAAGCCTAATTTGTCAATAAATCTTATCGAGATATTTAATAATGGATGATATTAATTACGACGAATTGGTAGATCAGCTTGAAGTGTTTTTTAAGTGCAATAAAAATAGAGCGAAAGCTGAAAGACAATATAGAGAAAAATATTCAAATAGAGTTCACCCAAATCGTTGAAAATTTAGTCGAATTGAAAAACAACCTGTGGTTCTTTGTAAAGAACAATAAAATAGAAATCTGAATGGTCTGTTATCAGTCGAAGAAAATCCAAGAGTTTCCATAAGAAAACTCGCTCATCAACAGACAAATTAGATTTGTCAAACCAAGCATTTTTTTATTCACACCTTTCCTTTAAAATTAAAAATCAGGCTACGAGACAAATTTCCTTGTAAAATTCTAAGATTTAAGATTTTTTTGATTGCATTGTGTTACGCAAAATGTAATAAATAGTGGTTTACAGTATTTTTCATGTCAATTATTATTGTTTGGAGGAAAAAAAAACATAGGTGTTCCATTTGGAAAACTAAATGTGGTAGCATTTCCGGCAACACCGGATGTGCTAAAAAAATTTAATACATTTATTAAGAAAGACAAGAATAAATATTATTACTTAAATATTTACTTTTTGAAAAAAAGAAGTAAGTTTAGGTGTTATCAGCCGGGGCAGGGCCGTACCCAAGGGGTGGGATTAGGGGGTTCAAACCCTTCCCGAAATGCTGAGCACTTTGTTATATAGTGTTATAAGCGTTAAAAATTTAGTTTTTGTGTTATTTTAGTGAGTTAATTTTAAATTTTTGTGAATTAATTTTTCATGTGTTAATTATACAGTGTTTAATTTTTATTGTTAGGTACAAATTTAAATACTTGAATATTTAATTTTAAGACAAAAGAGTTTCGAAAAATGCTATGAAAGGGATCTACACCCCCTAAAAAAGGTACGTTTTTTAAAGGGTTTTTCCTAATATTTCAGAATAGATAAAATGACAAAATTTGGTACCATTATATGTACACCTAAACAAATGCCAAATAACAAAATTTTTAATCAGGGGCGTCCTAAACGGTAAAACAAATTTAATTTTTCTGCTGTTTATGGTCTGTAACATAAATTTTTAAACTGATTTTTACAAAAAATCCGTAAATTGTATCGGAAAAACACAAAAGACCTTTTTTTATGAAAAACTATGAAATTTTGTTGCTGAAAGTGGCAAGAAACCACAAGCAAAATAGTTAGAGTAAATTTTTACCCTAATCCCATCTAGTTTAGGAAGCACCTAATTAAAAAAAATTACATTTTATTTTTGTACTTGTTTAGGTGTATAAAAGTTATCATCTGTAGCACATTTTGAAATTTTTTTCTAAAATGATTTCGGAAATATTGAAAAATAAACTATTAAAAGACGCACCCCTTGCGTAGCATTTTTTGATATATGTTCATAAAAAAATTTTGTTTTAAAAATGAATATTCATCTTCTGTTTAAATTTGTAACAATAAAAAGTATTAAAAATTTATTTTATTTTTTGGTACTTTTGTGAGTTAATTTGAATTTTTTTATGTTTAATTAGGATCTCTTATTTTATTTTAAAATAAAAACGTGTACTTAGAGATTTTTGATTTTTAATCCGCCTTCTTTCATTTCATTTTCATGGGCCAACAAGAAACCCCCCCCGAAATAAAATCCTGGTTACGGCCCTGAGCCGGGGCGACTTGGACCGAAATTCCTCTTTGCAGTTTATTCTCGGCATTTTCATTTTCCCTCTGTTTTTCCCCCTTTTAACACGACTGTACTGAGTGTCGTAGTAAAAGCAAAAAATTACGCGAGTATTGAAACGTAATAAGAATCCCCTTGCAAAGCGTGTCCCCATTGGTGCCGGCAATACAACACGGAGTCGTTCAACCAATGGCCGAACGACTTTGAAGAGGGGAATTATCTAAATATAACACATTCATGTCTGCTAGTTGACGTTATCAATTGTGTTGATGTCATAATAATAGCCATACGATACAGGATCGGATTTGCATCATAATTATCAAGGGGAAGAAATGGCATGGCTGGCTGGTGTGACTAACAACTCGCTTTTGGTGGAATTTCTGCTAATGATAAATATGTCCTGGTTTATTGAGTTATGGCAGTAAACTTTTATTAGAAGGCAAGACCGAAAGTGGACAGCAGGTAGCGAAAACTGGAATTTTGGGACCTAGTTTTATCTTCTACCTGATTTTAAAGAAAAAAGTTTAGTCTTTGTAATTTAGGGCAATAATTTTGGTTTTCCTGTAGAAAATCCGGGAGTAGGTAATATTCTTTTACTATGAAAAAGTGACTTGATTAAATTTTTAAGTATCAAATATAGTCCGGTCAAATTAGTCATAAAAATAGTGGTCAAATAACGAAAATTCCGACAGAGCTAAATTTTGGTGGAGACCTTGGGTATACCATTAGAAATAAAGTGTCAAAAGTCCCCATCGATCCCATGTGTGCTAAAAAAGTTATTCGGGGTCAAAGGTCAATATTTGATGTTTTTTAGAT